TACCATCAGGACCTCATAAGCCTATACTGGTGTTTTTAAAAGTTATGTTTGACTTTATGACTTTCTTTGTCCTTTCTGGGATTTTTCCTGCAGTATATAAAAATTGGTATATTTCAAAAATAAAACTATGAAGACACTCAAAATAAATTTCCTGTGGTGGGAAACTATTTTGTGCTGCTTTTTTGTATTTACAGTTTTGACGGATAAGCCTCTTAAATTTCTCTAACTAGAAATATATGTTAAAAAAAACAAAAACGATTTTCAAATTTTTTGTAGTTTATTGCGCTTTTTTGCAATTTATGTAATTACTATACACTTAATGCAGACATATTATTAGAATTTGGGCTATCATGGTTGTATTGATGTATAACAACTTGAAATGCTCCCAAAAATGGCTCCACAGCATGTAAAAATATAATATAAGCTCTGGCGGACTTGGTTCTATGGTAGGTCTTAAAGGGTTAATTGTTTCTTCTCTTTTTCTTTTGCTTTGATCATTACACTGAAATGAAACATTGCTGTCAAATATAAACTAATATAACTAAAAACAAAAGAAACTTCCCAATGAAAAACCTTCTACAATGCATACATATGTTTTTGTTTTTTTTTTACAGAAAAAAGATGCTTGATGATTGGTTAATTGTCCATTGTTTTGGATTTTTGTCAGGTTTTTCCTTAGTACCACTTGTTTTAATAAAAACAATAATGGATTTTTGTTATTACAATCATGAATACCCAAATCTCGATTACTGTATTAAAAGCTACCTGACATGAAAGTTTTTATAGAATACCACACTCGAGTATTGGAGGTGGAGGTTGTACCACATTGAACCCTGACTGAAGCTTATTTTGTCAAACAGATTTTTACATTACAAACTGATGATCATAAGATGTCGGTTTTGCAAAATGTCTACATAAAATTAAATTGTGGTAGTAGTTACCTGGAGCAGAGCCAGGGCTTATCTGGGCATCTCTGTGTGGTCCAATAGGATTTGAATCAAGAGTTTTCCCAGCACAAGATCCAGGACTCCTACTTGCTGAGCCTGGTCTTGGAGACAGTGTCAAGGAAGAGGGCAAATCCCTCAAAGCTAGTTTTGAAGTAGAGTGAACTGGTCCAGACTTGAAAATGTTTGATCCAGCTTTAGGGTCCGTACCTTGTTTGGTACTGGATGCTGAAGTCTTGAGGTTGTCATCTTTGGACCCAGACAGACTGGTTCTAATGGATGATGGGGAAACAGATCTGACAAGGTCTATTTTAGAGCTAGAGTTTGTTAAAGTAGACATAGAAGTTGACCGTGTTGGCTCAGCTTTATAATTGGAAGAGGCATCAGAACTAGAAGCAGTCCCACATTTAGCAGTTGGGCTAGTTTGAAGATTGATTTTTGAATCTGGCAGAGATTTGGGATCTTGGTCATCTTTTGACCTTGCCATGCTGGTTCTAGAGGCCCCAGCTGTCTTAGACTCTTGAGTAGTTTTGTTTGGTTTAATATCTGACATATTTCTAGAGTCAATGCTATCTCTGGAGCTCATCCCTGACTTAAAGTTGGGAGTGGCTTTGGAAGTGAAGTCATTTTTAAGATCTAAACTATCCCTAGAGTCTGAACTTGTTTTGGAAGCCGAACCACTTTTGGAATCTAAACTGTTTCTTGACCCAATCTGTGCTTTAGAATTGTGACTGGCTTTGGAATCAGTGCCAGTTTTAGAAACCAGACTGTCCTTGGACACTGTGGTTCCCTTAGAGTTTGAAATGAATTTAGAACTGGTTTTGCATCCAAAACCAGCACTTGAATCTTTACTCTCAAGGTTCTCCTTTGGTTTCATTGTATTACTGTTTATAGGTCCGGTGGCTGTTCTCTGTGTGGATGGCTTGGGACTTACAGACGTCAATAGGGTGCTCTTGTTACTCGGAAGTGCTGATTCTCCCCTCGGACTTGGTGATTTTGTAGCTGTAGAGGATGTTTCAGAACTATGAGTTCTTGAGTCATGCCCAGTTTTTGGATTTGACTTGCTGGTTATGCTCGCTGGGTTTTGGTTGACTTCCACTATTGGTATTTGATTTGCCAGTTTTGAGCTGATAGCCTTTGCCTCTGCTTTCTGGTTAGGAATTTGGGGGCTTGCAGGTAGGTGTAAAGTTTGTGGCGAAGGTGTCTTGATCACTTTCCCCCCATCCTCTTTTTGGTTTGACTGCATACTTAGACTGACTGTTATTTTATTTGTAGTCTTTGTGGTTAGTCCACCTGTCAGAGATTTTGTAGTGTTCAGGCTCTGTATTTTTATTCTTTCAGTACTTTTGGGGATGCTAGCCATTGTTGTTTGCTCCATCTGCTGTGGTTTTAGACTTGTGTGCATCTTGGTGCTAAGTCCTGGGGCATGTTTGATATTTGCTGATTTCAGAAGCTGCTCATCTCTGCATCTAACCGTTGGCTTAGCTGTTGGTGAACGAGACAAAGCTGGGATTTTGCTTTTTTGCCGTGATGGGTCATCTCTCTCTCCTGGTGATGTCACAGTGGGTGTAAGGATGCTTGCTGACATACTTACTGCTACTTTCACCCCAGGTTTTTCACCTTCTTTGGTCACATTATCCTTTTTCTGTCCCCCATGCAGCTTTGAGGACTCGATGAATGCGCGGGGATTGCTTGGTGAGGTAATATTGAGGTTAAGGTTAAAGTTAGGTTCCAGTTCAAGTTTTGTATTAGCATCTATGTTGCAGAGATTATCTTCAAGCCCATCCTCCCTTGTAACTGGACCTTCTGATTGGATGATATCTCTCTGTCGTTTTAAAATATTTTTTGAGGTTTCCATGATAATAATGATGATGATGGTTACTGTGTATCCAGTAGAAAAAAGGACCAATTTCTATGATATTTTTCAGTTGATACTGAGAACCTGACGAGACAGATGGATAAAGAGATGATTAAAAACAATAAGCCAAGCAGAGGCTATAGATGATGCATGTTTGATTGAAAGATAGCGGTCTCACTAGGCAAAAGTATTCAAAAGTTATTGACATAATATTATGAAAAAGTGACACACAACAAGAAAAAAATGCCCCCTCACACATAGGAGTAAAGACTTAAGATTGGTAGTTCAGCCCTGTCTGGCAGCTATTTTCTGCCAAACACATGAATTCTCACGAGACCCAGTTTCACTCACGTTTGCATTTTCCCTACTGTGCTTGATACAGGCATCCATAGTCATGACTAGATTTTAAAAAGGAAATACAAGCGACCTGCTGTTTCAAAAAAAGTTCTGTACATATAATGAAACTAACTGAGACAAAACTGAAAGGAGTCACATATTTATAACATTACAATTACACTTAAGTTGACATTTTACAGCCTGGTTATAAATAGAACTACTAATGTATTACAAAAATATCAGGCAAGTCTTGATATAAATAGAAATATAATTAAAAGAGCAAGCAATAGTTTAAGCATTTTAAAGTCACTCACGGGTATTACAGAAAGCTGTCACTGGAATATTACTGCAGGCTTGTAATATATTTCCTTCATACCTGTTTAGGATCCACGTACATCACTGTTGGTTGACAAAGGCATGGTAAATGTTCGACGGTCCACCGCTGCAGACTCCCAAAGTGGAGAAAAAGTCTTCATCTGGTTCCCCGCTTCTTTCTCCTCAATGCTCTACCAGAGGAGGCACCAATGAATAAATTACAAGAGGAGGGAGCGAGGAAGTAGAGAGGAGAACGCAGGGGCTGAGAAAAAAAAGAAAAACATTATCACACTCCCCTTATCCCATTTTTCTTCTGTCATGGATTTGTCTTCAGATGTACTCCACCATTTGATTCTATGGTTAAGACCTCCTCCTCAATTTGTAATCCCCTCTTCTTTTTTTTTAAGGTTTTCCTTGTCTGTTTTTCCTGTCAACCACCCAATATTTTGAGCACAATCTATGCCATGAAAACGTAATGCAGTGTTAAAGGCAAAAAAAGGAAGTCTAAGCCTGTACTTGTCATGGTCCTGGGTCTGTGACCCAGGTTTTTGAGTTTTGGGAATGTTTAGGAGTTTTCTTGTTTGTTACCCTTATGTTATAGTTTTGTATTTTGTATCACTGTCATTAAGGTTTTTGTGATGATATTAAGGTCAGGTATGGGTTTCAGGCTTTTATAGTTTCTTATAGTTGTCATGTTGCTATGCTCAGTATTTGCATTTTCTGTTCTTAGTCTTGTTATCTAGTCTTTAGGTGTCTGGCTCTCTTTAGATAAGATAAGATAAGATAAGATAATAGATAAGATAAATGTAACATAAATATACATATGTATACATATACATACATATATACCTGCACATGTCCATACACATGGAAGGTCCATTATGCATGAAGTGGTGACCGTGGATGTTCACAGTGTCCAGTGACTTATGACATCGTGATTGAGGAGTTATAGAGTCTAACTGCTGTTGGGATGAATGATCTGCGAAAGCGCTCCTTCCTGCAGCGAGGGTGTTTCAGTCTCTGACTAAAGGAGCTGCTCAGCCCACTCACATACTCATGCAGTGGGTGATGTGGGTTGTTCATGATGGATGTCAGCTTTACTAACATCCTCCCCTCACCAACCACCTCCACAGACTCCAGGGGACATCCCAGCACGGAGCTAGACCTCCGCACCAGTTTGTCAATCCTGCTCCTGTCCCTGTCCGTGCATCCACTCCCCCAGCAGGCCACTGCATAGAAAAGGGCAGATGCTACCACAGTGTCATAGAATGTCCTTAACAGAGTCCTGCAGACTCCGAAGGACCTCAGTCTCCTCAGCAGGTGGAGTCGACTCTGGCCCTTCTTATACAGGACGTCTGTATTTGTAGTCCAGTCCAGTTTATTGTTGAGGTGAACACCCAGGTACTTATAAGAGTCCACTATCTCAATGTCTTTCCCTTGGATGTTCACCGGTGTTGTAGGGGGTGACTTCCTCCTGAAGTCTATGATCATCTCCTTTGTCTTGCCGGCGTTGATTTGGAGTACGTTGGTCTCACACCAGCCAACAAAGTCACTGATGACCCCCCTGTATTCCTGATCATTCCCGTCTGATACGCATCCAATGATGGCTGTATCATCTGAGAACTTCTGTATATGGCAATCGTCCGAATTATAACAGAAGTCTGAAGTGTAAAGGCTGAACAGGAAAGGTGAGAGAACCGTGCCCTGTGGTGCCCCCGTGCTGCAGATTACCACCTCGGACACACAGTCATGGAGCCTCACATACTGTGGTCTGTTGGTAAGGTAGTCGATGGTCCATGCAGTCAGCTGTTTGCCTACTCCGGCTCCCTCCAGCTTCCCTCTCAGTAGTGCGGTTGGATGGTGTTGAAAGCACTGGAGAAGTCAAAAAACATGATCCTCACAGTGCTCCCCGCCTGCTCTAAGTGAGAGAGGGATCGGTGTACCAGGTAGATGACAGCGTCATCCACCCCAATTCCAGAACGGTAGGCGAACTGCAGGGGGTCCAACACTGAGCCCACCATGGAATCACCTTGGGGTCCATAATGTTCTTCTTGCAAGCTTGTGATGATCACGTGATGCATACTGCTCCGACGTGCTAACGTTCTGAGGTGAGTTACGGCGTGTTGCAAGTTTTGTGAGGTGCTTTCGTGATATTTAATGGATCGGATTACATTTTTTATTTTTCTCCGATATCCGATCCAGTAATTTAGGTCAGTATCGGACCGATACCGATACGTAATATCGGATCGGTCCATCTCTACTTACTACTGACCAATTTTTTGTGTGTTTTGAAAAGAGTTCAACAATAAAGCTGTTTATGGAGTCATCTTTGGGCTATTGGCATCTTGCACTTGGGTCTTAAACCTGCTCGCCATACAGTCGCTCTATGACAGAACTTGCAAAGTGTTCCTAATGAAGTGGCTGGTGTGTGTATTTTTCTCGACAAGGCAGTTCAGTTTCACTTCCAGTGCAACTTGACCATCAGTCAAAATGATACAAAAAAATATTCACTTTTGTCAGACACTGCCAGCAGACTGAGTTTAAACTGTGTCTGGTCAAGCTGATGAAACAAGGAAAAACATGCAAAAGGTAAGGCTGTGTAACAATACTTTTGTTGTCTACTGGAAAAAAATATGAGTCAGCTGAGTTCACGTTAAATCAAAAATATCTATTCCTTTGTTATTTGATTAGGACATCTGGATTGACTTCCTCCACTGAGGAAACAGGGCTTCAATAGAAGATGATTAATTTAACTTTACAGCTGTTGATATGTATTATTGTTAGATGCACTTTAGGGGAAGTAATTCAAATAACAGAATGTGAAAACTATTTACAGGCATCTGCATTTATGTTGAACATGGTAATATTTTTCATATACACATAATTTGCCTGCCTTTCCTTTTTTGACAGCAATATTGAGATGACCAAGAAAAACCTTTTGTGTGAAAAAGCTTTAGAAGCTCCTTGTGTTGAGGATCTTTATCTGTTTTAGAGACTCTGTGCTCACTCTCTGTTTTATCTGCTAGTCTTACAAATGCTAAACCTTTAGGATATTTTGGTAAGTCTGAAATATGGTTGATCAAGTGTCATGTACCCTTGTAGGTGCAGGCTGCTGCACTGGTGCCCAAATCTGCACCATGTGGTCCACATATGCCAAATATTTCATGCCAGCAATCGGAACCATAATGGAATCTCCACCCAGGTCTCACACTGTGTGGCTCACATATTCCCCACGATAAGAAAAAAAACAGAACAATAAAAAACAAAACAAACAAACTTAAAGCCAATGTTGAGTTGTTTTGCAGTAAGATGCACTTTAACTTCCATTTACTGATGTTTTGAATCAGTCATCCCAGATATAGACAAAAATAAAAAAAGGAAATGTTTTGTGGTTTCCATATTACTCACATTTCCTTGTATGGTGGTTCCTTATTATAAATAATAGGGAAGCCGCAACCAATTGTGACTAGGTGTGGGTGAACTGTGGGGCTTTGTGGGCAGGACAAACCCATACTTATCCCACTTGGGGGTGTCCACAAGTTGCCAACACCAGGTTTGACTTCCTATATGGGTTTTTCATAGAAAACAGTGATTTTCTGGGACAAGACAACTCGGTTGCCTATCTGTAGTTCAGCTGCCTGCCTTTCTGTGACAACCGGGCAGCCAGACACAGGTAAGTGGACTCAAATGCAGACACCACACGGAGGCTCGCAGGTGTTCTGCAAACGAACTGTTTATTTAGCACTCAAAAATGGCACACCATGAAAGAGGCAAATGAAACAAAAATGCTATACTTGAACTAAGGGCGAGAGGGAAAACATAGCCCTCTGAATATTAGTTACCTACTAATGTAAAGTTTCAGATTACAGTACTAAGAATCTGTAGCTACAAACACTGTGATTGGCAAGGGCTAGTAGACAAAACTGTTACTAGGGATGCTGTGAAAGTACACAAGACTTGGCTAGGACTATCTCCACAAGTAAACAAGAGTCACACTACATGTGCAGCAGCAAAGTCCAAAGGAAATCGTCTCCTTATCCGGCTGGGCGCGTTATTTGGTATTTTCCGGAGCAGGCACACTAGGTACAGGGTCACAGGGTTTCTCTCTGAATTACTGTAATGAAAGGTGTGTAGAGTCAATACAAGCCCCACGCAGCAGTCAAAGAAATGGTGGCAACAAAATACACAGTCTTACTTGTCTGGGTTGAAGGCGAGGCTTGGAGGGATTAAAGGTCCAAGTGAGGCTAAACCAGTTCGTGTACACTCACTGTGAGGTGTTGGGCAGGGAGGCAGGCAGGTGAATACACCGAGTATAGAAAGCAGACCAGTGACGGGAAGTAGAAAGGTTATTGACAGCAAGATCCAATCCACTGTGAAGCTGCAAAGGCAAGTAGACAGGGTTAGCATGACAAAAACAGCAAATGGGGGTTTACAGAGCAATGACTCTCACTAACGTGGGTTAGCTGCCATTCCAGCAAGGAATGTTTGAGAACGCTGGTCTTAAGAGCCTCCCAGCAAATTACACACAGGTGCCACAAACGAGGGGTGTTGTGACTCTGCCCAGTGATGGATTTACTGACACGCAGGAAAACCCAGCACTCACCCGGACCATGACACTTTCCTTTAAACTTCATTCTGTGTTATCTAGCTTGTTACCACAAGTGTGATGTGATCAAAACCTACCTTATATTTTCTTTCTTCTCTGGTCTGCTTCAGGTGTATTGATCAACAGTATGCTCCCACCTCCATCTTCCTCAAGAAAGTGAAAACCACTACTGAGATCAACATGCTAGCTACAGGAAGCGTGTATCTGCTGCTTATCTCACTTCTGTCTTTTTTGTTTCATTGTGAACATTCACTTGCTTTTTCTCTAAAAAACTGCACAATCCTCTATTCTGAAAATCCAAACAACGTGTCAGTTACATGTGCAAAGCGTCACCTCACTGCTATTCCAGATGACATTCCTGGTAATGCAGTATCGCTCAATCTCAGCTCAAATGACCTTTCAAATATTTCCAGGATGTATTTAAGAGGTTTATCTAAGCTTGAAGCTCTATATGTTAAAAATAATTGGATTTTACAAATTGATGATGGAACTTTTGCAGACGTGGTAGAGTTAAAAGTTCTCGACTTGGGTGAAAATTTACTCACAGCACTGACAAAAAACATGTTTCAGGGTCTTTCCAAATTAGAGACACTGTCTCTGAACAGCAACAATATCTCATTTATCTCCCCTGTGGTCTTTCAGCCCCTGGTCATCATACGTTCAGTAGATTTGAGC